ACGGACAGAGGTAGAAAACGCTTGTGTTGGTGAGTCGCCGAGTAGGACGTAGTGGGGGCAGAGCTCACACGGACAGGCTACATATGCTTGTGTAAAATACCCACGGGAGGCATGGAGAGGGTAAGCGCTCGCGCGGTTTACCCACGATTCTGGCATCACTGCCTGCAGGCTGCACTACAGCAGCTGCAGTTCGTTGCCCGGTGTCTCCGTTATAGGTGGTTGAGCTGGTTATGGCACGCTCTTCTGTGTAATCACGTTTTAAAGTGTCTTCTTTCGAAAAATTGAGAATAGTGTCCTCATTCTGACAAGAAAATACAGAATCATTAAGAAATTTCATACACTCGAGGAGAGAGTCCACGCAGAGAAAAATTTCTTCTGTTTCACTTTTTTATAACCTCGAAGAAGGTGTAAAGGAAGAAATCTGAAAATATAAAAGGGAGCACGTAAGTTTCCGATTGCATATTTAGTCTGAACATTGAAAAATACTTAGACTGTTGTAAGATATATACAAATTGTAACAGTATTTATTTCCCCATTTGTAGGATTAACATATACTTAATTGTGTCTATTGCTGTGTCACTGTTGCCTGCATCTAATTGCAGGGCTAATAAAGTATGTATTATAAATTCATGTGTGTAGTAAAGGAAAAAATTGGTATTAAAATAATTTTGTGGTGCATAATCTTCAATTATAATCTTTTAGATGTTGCAACGATCGTGGGTATGGCAGCATTATAGTCGCGTAGAAGATGGTTTTGTGACATGTAATACGTGCCACAAAGTGCTGAGATCATTTAAAACAACTACACCAATGATTCGACATTTAAAAACTAAGCATCACCTTGACAGATTAGAGACTGAGGAGGGATCTAATTCTCAGTCCCAAACATCAACTTCATTGTCATCATGGGTTGTACCATCTGCTGGTAAGAACAAAATACATTTAGATTATTTGGGTGTAATAGAGTGGGTATATAAATTACTGTAGTCAAACGTAGTTACACTGAAATTTTATGCAATTGTAATTGTTTTTTTTTCAGATGTTGAAGACAGGAAAATGGAATTGGACATGGCAGTTGCCGATTTAGTTGTTAAAGATTTGCAACCATTTAGTATTGTGGAGGATAAGGGCTTTCAAGCATACACTCGGATGTTAAATCCAAAATATAGTCTCCCTACTCGGAAGACACTGAAGAGATTAGTGGAGAACATGTATGAAGAAACGAAATGGCAGGTGCAGCAGGAAATAATTTTTTGACGGTTACATGCCATTTTATTAATGAACAATTTGACTTAAAGTCATATACACTTCAAACAGAGAAGGTTAGTAGAAGTTATACGGGTGCCACTTTGGCAAATACATTAAAAAGAATATTTCGTGAATGGAATATAGAAAGTAAAGTAAAATATGTTATCACTGATAGTTCTCCAAATATGCTTGCTGCAATTCAAGATTTTGGTAGTGATGTGACAAGCATTTCATGTTTTGCTCACACATTAAACTTAGTAGTTAACAGTAGTTTAACAGAATTTGAACCATTAATTAATATTCGCCAGAAATGTCGAGATGTAGTATCACATTTTAAATCAAGTTGCTTAGCAAGCGATAAATTGACTGAAATTCAGAGTGCACTTGGCATAGAAAAACATAAATTAATTTTAGAAGTAGAAACACGTTGGAATTCAACCTATGAAATGTTTGAAAGGTTACTGCAGCAAAAGCATGCGGTAACAGCAGCGTTATCATATTTTGATGTTCCTTTCGAACTGTTAACCGCGAGTGAATGGGATATTATGGCGTATTGTTTGCCAGTTTTAAAACCCTTGTTTTTATTAACTAAGGAATTAAGTTCTGAAACGCATGTTTCAATTTCAAAAGTATTAGTCTGCATAAATCAGTTGAATGTCTTTTTAAATTCAAGCGAACATGAGTTGGCCACGAAATTAAGAGAAATGATGAATAAATATTTTCGTGACATTGAGCTTAATTCTATTTATAGCATGTCAAATATGTTAGACCCAAGATTTAAAACGTTAGGATTTATGACCATCGAAGGTGCGGAAAATGCAAAAAAATTGATATTTGAAAGCAGCAAGGTAACCACAGAAACTGATGACAAATCATTCATCACTGATTATAATATAGAAATGAGCACTTCTTTTTGGGCTAATTTCGATACCAGAGTCAGTGCATACAATTGTTCTCATACAGAACAATTCGGTCCAGCAGCCGAACTGGACTCTTATATGAAGGAACCGTGTGCACATAGGCAAAGTAATCCTTTGGAGTACTGGAAACTGAATGCTACGAAGTATCCACACCTTTCCCAGTTAGCACAAAAAGTTCTGTGCTGTCCTGCGACCTCAGTGCCTTCCGAAAGAATGTTTTCTAAAGCAGGAAATATGCTGTCCAAGAAAAGAAACAAATTGAAGGATTCAACACTTAACAAAATGTTACTGTTAAACAGTGGATAACTGGAGTTTCTTCAATTTATTTCTTTTTAAATTGACAATGTTTCCCGCCAAAGAGAATACTCTTCGTAAGGAAATTACTTTAAGAATATTACTTTTCCAATGCTACAAGATCCTATAAATTACATATCCGTGGTTTAGATGACACTTATTCAGATAATTTGTGCAAATTTATTAATAAATCACATTAAGGAATGTATTTAATGAAAATGAAAATAAGGCATTTTTTAGAAAAGGGTTTTATTCCAATAATCAGATTATAAGTCTTCTATAACAAAATTCAACGAAAACAACTAAGGGCATATGTTTTGTCGGTCTGAGAGACCGACGTGCGGGTATAGACAGGTTAATTTCCTCTTATAAGTAGGATTACTTTCAATAAAATTAAAGTATAGATGTACTTTTTCTCACATGTTGCTCAGTATTTAAATCAAAAGTTAATACAAAAATCAGGTTTAGTACTAGTAAATATTGTGTTACCAGATCCCAATACTCACAAGAGGAAGGCACGGGTGTGGAAATCGCTTTTGGAACGACACTACGTGGAAGTTAATAGTACACATCCATATAGTATTACAAAATCCTCATGGGTTTCTTCAGAATGGGTCTTGGTTTTCGAGATATTTTGGTTTAAAGGTTTGCATGTGTCTAGTAGTCCAGTTACATAAAATGTATTACTAAGAAGTAGTCTTAGGTCGTGGGTACGGTGGTACAGTACCCGTTTATCATGTGGCGAGCCCTGGTTCACATAGTGCCGTTTCAAAAGCAATTAAAGTTTTAGTTAAAGTTGTAAAGAACATATTACAGTATTACAATACTGTTATCAGTAAATATCTACTTTCCAATGCAGTAACCCATGAGATATTCTGTAACTATAATTCCAACGAGTGTCTGCTTTGTTGTATCCTGTATTCTCAGAACCTCCCTTCGTTGCACATTTTTGTCTTATCACTTTGAAAGGCGAACTTAGCGAAAACCGTCAATTCAGCAAACGTGGAAACAACGGGCGTGGTCGTCTTTCCTAGAAACACTGACAGAAACATCAACAATTCTAAAACTCCGCCTCGATGAATCAACAACCGCGAATCACAGCCTGTGCTACCCCGTTTTCTCCACATTTGCTAATAAAGGAAGGGGCAGGGAGAACATATAAAAGGATCGTCAAAACCGGGAAGGCAGTCAGTCAGTCGGTCAGTTTTAAATCAGAAGTTTTTAGCTCAGTTTTAGCTCAGTAGTTTTAGTCTTAGGTCAGTCTGAGTCCAGTATGAAACGAGTCTAGTTAAACTCTCTCCATTTAGACTCTCTCGCGGTTTCGGCTCGTATCCCGCAACTGTTTGTTCGTTCGCTCTTCAAGAATCGCGCTCCGCTCTAATCTTTTACACGCGACAGCGAGCTGAGCGTTAACCGTCACTCAGCTGTTCGGTATCGGGCCCCGCGACGATCTCTTCCTTGTGCGACGCGACCTCGCGATTACGCGCGGCCTACAGATGAGTTTTATAAGACACCGGACCCCGAAGGGCAAGGTCCGAGACGTTGACAACGTATCCCGCAGTGCATAAACCCTCTATCACGGCTCCGAGCACCAGCGAGTCTACCGCCCCCTCAAGGACCCGAAATCCCGACCGAACCGACCGAAAGCGACGCAAATCTATCATTCATCTTCATCATCTTTGGTATGCTAAGACTTATTTGTGTCTGTTATTTTATTTAACTATTAGAATATATCTCTTTTATTATTACAAACGGGAGTGATTTCCTATCCCTCCCGTTCCATATCCAACCTGCGTACTTCACCGGTAAGTTTAGACAGGGCGTGCTTTAGCACCTTAAAGGAGCCAGGACCCGAAAATATAAGTAGAATAACGACCGCAACGCGGGACGTAACAAATTTGGTGTTAGAAGTGGGATCTTAAGATCGAAATATCGAAGCTAAAATTCTTTGCTTTCGAAATTTAACATTTATTTCGATCACGGCTCGTAATCATTTTTTTTTTTTTTTTTACGTGGGGGAAATGCCTGACGCACACCCCGGAGTCCTGGGGTGGGACTCCGAGGTAGTGTGGGCTCGCACCCACTAAAACCCCCGCGGCAGCCGTCTCGGGCGTAACTCGGCGGTGGCGGGATCTCGTATCAACGTACCGCCACCGCCGCACTCCCCGTTATCGGAGAGTCCAGTTCCGTGGGGGCGTTATGTCGCCCTCAGGTGTGACCGAACACCGGTCAACCCCCCTTCCTACTCCGCCAGCGTCGGGGGACTGCACTCCGACGCCGGCCCAACTGGGCCGCACCAACACGCGGCCGGGGTTCCCACCCCGACCGCAGCGGCCCCGACGGATGCGCGCGCGCAGGCAAGAGCCGCAGTGGCTGCGGCTCCGCGAAGTCCGCGCACGCGTCCGTCCGTTCTCGCGGGCTTCCGCCCGTCTACAGGGGGGGGCAGCCCCCCGCCCGCGCGGGTCGCTTGGCCCCGCCCCCGTCCCCGCCCCGCTCTTCTCCTCTCGCGGCGAGCGGGGTCGCTCGCCTCGTGACCCCGCTCGTCGTCCTCCTTTTGCTGCATGACGGCTTCGCAGAAGGAGGACACCGCCAACCACGACCTCTCGCTCCCCACCATGGCCGCAACCACGGCCGGGAGCGAGAGGTCACCTCCTATCTCCAGCCGGAGTGCCCGCCTCTCCCTGGAGAAGGCCGGGCACTCCTCTAACTGGTGGCACTCGGCCGTCGCCTCGACTCCAACCTTCTGCAGGTACTCACCGAAGCATCCGTGCCCGGCGGGCACCTGCGTGAGCCGGTAGGAGAGCCTGCCGTCCCGACGGTCAGGCCACCCATCCAGGATGGGCAGGACCGCGCCCACGGCCATACAGCTGGCGCCGCCACTTTTCGCGAGCGAGCCGCCGGCACTGGCGCTTCATCACCTCGACCGCGTCGTGCGGCGGGTCGGCCCCGTTCCGGCGGAGTCTCTGCAGACGCCGATACAGATCGGCGTCAGCCTCCGCCTGGAAGTCAAAGGGCACGACCCCCGCCAGGACGACCGCCGCCTCCAGGCAGCAGTAGCTGCCGGCCCCGCCGGCCGGCCATCAGGTCGCGGGCCCATACGGGTGATCCGTATAGTGCCATCGCCCGCACCACCCCCATGTAGAGGCGGCGTACCCTCTCCTCTGGCCCCCCAAGATTGGGCATCAGACGACCCAACAGGGTCGTCACGCCCTCAATCCGGGGGGCCAGGCGGTCGAAGTGTCCTTCGAAGCGCCAGCGGCTGTCCAGGTTGAGGCCGAGGTACTTCATTCGGCCCTCGACCCGGACACAGGCATCTCCTACACGGATCCAGGCCTGGGGGACCCGCCGCGACAGAGGCAGTCCATGAAACATGACTACCTCCGTCTTTGGCGGCGAGATCTGCAACCCCAGGTCCCGGATCCTGGCGACGACCAGCGCCACCGCCACCTCCGCAATGCGGATGGTCCTCGTCCACTCTCTCCCGACCGCGATGATCAGCGTGTCGTCCACATAACAGACGACACGCACACAGGGCGGGAGGAGCCCGCGCAACACCGAGTCGTACCCCAGGTTCCACAGAAGTGGGCCCAATACGGACCCCTGGGGCACCCCTCGGCGGACCCTTCGTCGTACCATAGTACCCCCACGACGGGGGTACTCTACCTCTCTGTCCGCGAGATAATCCCGGATCACGGCCTGCAGATACGGGGGCACTCCGTGTTCACGGAGCGCCCCGCGTATCGCATCCCAGCGGAGGGTGTTGAAGGCGTTGGCCACGTCAAGGC